GGAGCCGGTTTGGGGCGGAGGGGGTGGGGGGGTGGGTGGGCGGGGCCTGCCCATATATTTAGCGGCACCGGAGGCCACGCCCAAAATCGGAAGTGACGGAGAGGAGCTAGCGCGTCGAAGATACCTCTATGGTTTTTCTCCCGTGCTTGAGTCGGGAAATGGCCGCGGTGTAGTTACGAGGAAGATAAGTCCCGGGAACCGTGCTTCGGCGTGTCAGGTAGGCCTTGCGTTGCATTCAAATCACTCAAAGGGCAGTGTATGTCGAGGAGGAGTGAATATTGTTGAACCTTTTGTTGGTAGTGGTGGGTTGGCGGCGACAGGAGAACCCAGGAGACGTTGTACCGTTATTTATGCGTTTCCCGGTCAGCTTCCCTCAGGTTTTCGAGGCACTACGGCCCGAAAAGGTGGGGGTGGGGTGAGCAGCGGGAACGGTGTGCGCGCGGCTCCGAGCCTGGCTCGATACCCACCGACCGCGCGGCCTTCTCATGCGCTTGCGCAGATCTCTCTCTCCAACCCTTCCCCCATTTCCTCAGCCCGGACCTCTGCTCGCGCCTGACTGAACGCTCGCCTCGCGCACGCGCGCTTGCTCCTCCCTCCCTTCGCCGCCTACGGCCCCTGAGGCGGCCCGAGGTACAACTTGTGTTCGCCTCTCGCCACCTTTCTTCCCGGCCTTTGGGGCTTTGATAGGATCACTGACGTGCAGCGAAGTGCCTTGGGTAGGTTAGCTAACCGCTTTCCGCGTCGTTTGAACTCCTTTTCCCCGGCTTCACGCTCCCAGTCGGTTTACGCCTTATTTTGGTTACCTCACTTTGTCTTAGGATCCTGTTCCGCTCTTCAGACCCCGGCATCGCCTCCGGGGTTGCGGGAAAATTTTCTTCGGGGCTAATCTAATCGGGGCCCCCCGGTAACTGCTTTGAAGCGAAAGTGCACTTTTGACTGTAGGAGTTGGTGCCTAATCACGGTTTCCTAGTTTGGGCAGCTGGCCTTAGTCGATGGATCCAAGAACGGCCTCGCCACCCCCGGGCCTAAAGGGCAGTTGTGTAGTACCCGCGAAGCCACCTCGTTTCTGCGAGAGTTGCAGCCCCTTGTAGCTCGTTAGAAATGTTGCAGCAGTGGTTGGTACAGTTGGTGGTATACATGGAGGGGAGTGGTGAGTTGAGGTTAAGGACTTTGTCCTCATTTTATTTAAGTCCGTAGTTGGCTTTATTTACTTTTAAGGTTTATCTCGTCAGAATCGAGCAGCAGTACTGGCAGCTACTTTTCGATGTCAGAATTTTTTTTTTAATAAATCATTTGAATTGAAAAAACTGACTAAAGTTGGAGGCAGATATGACCAAAAATGATGTACAGAGATTAGCTGCTTCAGACTTGTATCTTTTTGCAGCAGCGCCTTTAAAATTTTTTTGGTATTAAAAAGCAAAACAAAATTTATTATCTCTCAATGTGAATATTCCTTCCGATTGGACTGTAGTTGAGAAGACGGGTTGGGCTGCAGGTCAGACAATAAAGAACGTTTACATAGGAAAAACCCCTACCAGTTTATTTGCATTATTATGTGATCCTAGCCAATTTAGGGTAGGTACTCGAATCGAAGGTTTGTGTGTCTGAAATAACTCACTTTAGGTGAACAACCTAAAGCCTGTTTACTGATGGCAGTTAGCTTTTTTTAAAAAATACCACACTTTCACTGATACATTGTGGTAAACATTGAAATCTCCCTTGATTCAGGTAAATAAAATGGTGGCAAAGGAAATTTTTTAGGTAGAGCTGATTCTTGACTTGGAAGAACAATAGTATTTTAGTACTTGGAAATAGACCTGTAAAAACTTGTCACTTGGTAGGCTCAGGCCTAGTTGAGTTTATTGAATGACTTAATGTGGGCAGCTAGCTGTACTAGATTAACTATGTGAGTCACGACTTACAGAAACAAAGAAAGTCTTTTCAGTTCTACATAGAGCTTTGGATTGGGAGTTTCCAGAAGCTACATTCAAAATCATTAGTTGTCCACTAGCTGAATTCTCCTGTGTAATTTACAGTGATTTATTAAATAACAAGAAGTAGGTAAGGGAATCAAGAAGTCCAACTTATATCTCTGGGTAGTAAGTGTAAATGTTTAGGTTATAGTTGTAGGTTAGGAATTTGTTCATTTATCAACTCCAGTTTCTTAAACAGTGGTCATCACTATTACGTCGGAGTCTTAAATATTTAATGTTTTATTTGTCCTCAGGGCTGGAAAAAAAACAGTCTACAAACATTAATGTAGTAATAATACAGGCCTGCATTTGTGTATTATTTTTGGAATTTTCAAACACTTAATTTTACTTGATCCAGTATTTCTCCTTATACTAGGTGGAGGCCAAAAAAGGTAGAAAACTTTAGGGCTACATGAACCAGGGATTGGCACACCCTAGTCTAGAATGAAGGTATTCTTTCTTTTTCTCAGTTCTGTGCGCTTTTTTTTTTTTTTTTTTTTTTTTTAAGCAGGCGGACAAGGAGCTGGACAAAGAACTAAAAATTTGCAGCTAAACCTATCGTTTTTTAAAGCTTTTACTTGTGGAAATTTTCAAGCACAAAGTAGAAAGAATAGTGAACTGTTTGTTATCTAGGTTAAATAATTATCAGCATTTACCAATTTTAATATGTTTTTTTTTTGTTTTTAATTTTTATTTTATATTGGCATATAGGTGATTAACAGTGTTGTGTTTCAAGTGTACTGCACAGTGATTGAGTTATACATATACATATTACCATTCTTCAAATTCATTTTTTCTGGAGTGTTTTAAAGCAAAATAACTTTTTTATAATGATGGTTAATGCCATATCAAAAATACCAAGCTTAAATATAGTAATCATTTGAAGCAAAATTAATAAACTACAGTTAAGACTGTCACAGACCAGGTTTACCAATAATGATAGTTAACATTTGAATGCATACCATGTGCCAAGTTGCTTATATTTATTAGTTCAGTTAATTTTAAACCTATGAATATCGTAATTAACCTTAAACCTATGAGTATCATAATTAACCTTATTTTATAAATGTGGAAACTGAAGCTGGAAGAGATTAAGGTAATTTGTCCAGTGTTGGACAGCTAGTTAATGGTCAAGCCAGAATTTTGAACCTAGTCAGTTGGAATAAGAGTCATGGGATATTAATTTTAGGATTATTAAAGATGTGAATAGCAATAATTTGTTTACAAAATCTGGAGCCCAAATTCCCTGAGTATGCTAAAATTAAGATGGCTCAAGTATGCTTGATAGGGTAACCTAAAGAATCTTCTGGAGGAGCTTCAACTTGTGTATTTTGTTGAGCCCAGTTGTCTTTTCTCTTTCCATCACTTGTGTTCTAGCTGATCATTATGTATTATTCCATAAACGATATGCTCTGTTAAGATATTTAAGAACTTTATTTTTGGTCCTGCTGCATGGCTTGAGGGATCTCAGTTCCCTGATGAGGGATTGAACTGGGCCACATCAGTGAAAGCCCAGAATCCTAACCACTAGGCCACCAGGGAACTCTCTTTAAGAACTTTATTTAAAAAAATAAAGTCTGACTCATCCTCTTGTGTTCTTCACTGGTTGGTGAATCATTTGGATAAAGGTGCATGAAGCACTTTATTCTCTGTCTCTTTTTACAGTGTGTTAGTAAGTGATCTTCTTTAGAATAGAGAGAAGATTGATTTGACATTTTGAATTATATATGTAGGTTATGGCCACATCAGGCACCTGTCAGGGTATCAGAGAGAGCACAGGAGATCTTGGTCAAATTCTGGATTAACTTTTTACAGTCTGTGACCATGGGCAGCCTAAAAGGGCAAACAAATCTCCTGTTTTTGCCCCCAAATTTGCACTTCTTCCAGATACTTGAGCCCAAAACTTAGAATTTAGGAGCACCATTGATTTTTCAATTCTTTCTTTTTTTTTTTTTCCTTTTTTCAATTCCCTGTGCTTCATACCACTAACAATCTGTGAGCAAGTACTGTTGACTATGTACTTCCAAACCAGATTCTGGATTTGCCTCTTTTTTCTTTCTTTATTGCTACCACTTTATCCAGGCAACCATTATATTGAACTTCAACCTTCTAGTTTGTCTCCAAGTTCTTCTTTCCAAGTTGTTCATGCTCTACCCAGCAGCCATCTTAAATCATATGGTGTGACTTCCCTGATCAGGCTTTCCAGGGCCTTCCCATTTCAGTTAGAATAAAATCTAGACTCTTTACTCTGGCCTACTTACTAGATGCTATTTGATTTGCTCCTTTCCTGTCTTCTCCTGTTTTATTTTATACCCTCTCCTTGATCACAGCGCCTCAACCTTCTTACTGGTCTTTGTGTCCTGAATTTGCTACATTTGTGTCCTTTGCCTAGAATGCTTTTCTTTTCTTGGGTCTTTGCAGTGTTCCTTGTCTTTAGCTTAACTGTTACCTCTTTAAACACGCTTCAAGGACCCACCGTAGTGGTCCTGCTCTTCGCCTCTTCACATATCACTTTTTTGTTTTCTCTCTTCCCCTAGCTTGAACATAAGCTCCAAGAGAGTAGGGAACTTAATGTCTCACTTAAAGTGTTTTTTCCTACACTAGAATAGTTGTGCCTGGCTTGTGATAGGCACCTTTGTTGTAAATTCATATGAATTCTGAAAGCTTAAATTCATCTGAAAGATGGGGTTAAATATGTAGTTTATAAGATTATGAGGATTAAATCAGGTGATTTTATTTAAAGTCACCTAGCACAGTTCTGGGCACATGGTTGGTAGTTAAATTTGCTGTAATTTGTTGATTTCTGTTCTTCTTTAGTTTTTGGGAGCGCAGGGACCTTTTACAGTTGTGTCTCCCATAATATTTAGCACAGTGCTTTGTACATAGATTTCATTAAAAAAAAAAAGAAATGGAGCAGATTACAGTCTTTATACTATCTTAAATATTATTAGTATATTATTAAATGTTAAATATAATTTACATTATATATTATTAAGTATATTGTGTGACATTTTATATATGATCATTGAGTTCTTGGTATGGATACTTGAGAATATATTCATAGATTGAACAAAAATGTATGTCTCATCTACTAGTCTAACAGCCTACAGCCCACAGCCCCTCCTTCCTCACTGCTATTTCTAGTGTATATTTTCTTGGAACTTCAGAAAATCATCACTTGGAGTAAAGAGAGATTTGGCAGTTGGTTCTTCTCTGGATATATAGAAATTAAAATTAGCCTTTTAGAATTGTTTGGGGGAAGTGTTAGCTAAAATGAGCCTTGTATCACTTCCAGCAGTGAATCAGTAGTATTGGACTTCTAGGTCAGCATAAAGTTTCATAACAACGCACCAATTTAGATGATGAGCGTTTTCCTCTGCCCACTTGGGGGATTTGATATTTTTAAAACTAAACATGCAAGGACTTTAGAAATCTTTTTGTTTCTGTATCCATGACCTTTTATTTTTGCTAATTTTTATTTTGGTGTATTTCCCTTAATTGCTAAGTTTCTGAAAGCTCAGATCTCTTAATCTCCTCAGCTGTATAGGGCTGTGGGTATTTAGGGGACATATTCTTGATTTACCAGTTTAATTTTAATTTCTTCTACTTTGTATTTTCATTGTTATTACATTTTTCATTGGATTGATAACTTGGTAAGATTCACAGATTTTCATAATAATTTTTTTTTCATTCAAGCTGGTTTATGAATTCCTTGAGTATAGGCATGTACAATGTTGTTTAGTTTCTGCTCCCCTAGTGTTTTTTGACTGTTCTTTGCACATAATTGATAATCACTGAATGTTATTCATTAGGCTAAGTTTTTCAGTAAATACTGAAACTGCTTAATAGTCTGTGCAGAATTTAAATTTATTTGCATAGTAATGGTAAATTAGGAAGAGCATTGGCTTCCAATAGATATTTGTTTCATCTACTGGCTGTTCTTTTATTGGAACATCTGTACATGTATCAGAATGCTTTTAGGCACAAAATTAGAATTACTGTGATGGCTGTTACACGAATTTAAAAAAACAGCTTCAAATGAAACCAAACTGTATGAAAGGAAGTGACCAGGAGAGATTAAGATAAATAGCAGAGCACTAAAATAAACTCATATTGTAGTTTAGTTACAAACTGTAGCGTTATGAATGCTAACTATAGATACATGACATGTTTTGATATACCAAGATGGCCACTTATGCCAGCCACTTTGGAATTTTCTGATAGGATGACAGCATAGCTTCTGTTTTCTAAAGCCCAAATTGCTAAAATTAGAATTCAGGTGTTTGAATTAAAGGTGCTTCAGTTTCATAATGCACTGCTGCATTCAGATTGAAACAAAAAAAGTTAAGTTCCTTTAAGCTTTTGTGGTTAAAAATTTATTTCCTGAATCAGTTTCCCATTCCCTGAAATATTTAGTGCCTTTATTAAGAGTTTTTTATAGCAGTGTTGAGTGTGATGCTTTGTAAACAGTGGATTTTTAATTTACCATAATTCAAATTCATATTTTTTTTATCTTTGCTAGGAGTTTGAATTTAGAATTTAATTTCTCAGAACAGTTCTCTCCAGGAAGAATTTTACAGTATCTCAAAGACTTCACTTGACTGCTTGATCCTCCATAAAACCCAAGGTAAATAATATCCTTTTTTCTAGTTTTCAGTTTTGGCTTATTTAAGAAAATGTGACTTCTGAACTCATGATTTAGACTGATTAAAAGTGATGTGGTCTGAAACTCTTGGGGGTTTTCTGGTGGCTTGTATGAAGTAAGCCAGATTGTAAAAGATAGATTTAAGGAAAAGATTGTCTATCTCTCTGCTTCTAGGTTGTGTGCCTGCTTCTACTTCTATAAACACATCTGCTTAAAGACTCAGAACACACAAAGTTATTTAAAAATAAAACAAGACAAAATAACTCTGCTTATTTAACTACCTTTCTTTATGCATGAAAGAGGAGTTCTGTAACTTAGCTTTTTTCCCCTTATGTGGGTGTTAAGGTAATTAAAGTTGATTGCTTATGTGCTAAACATTGTATTAAGTATATTACATGTATCAACTTGTTTAATCCTCACTGCAACTCTGAGGAGAGTACTGTCTTTATGTATTTCCCAACTTACTTGGAATTAAGAGTGAGAGAAGACAAAGCTGGTATTTGTCTCTTTGAAGATAGATATGTTTTGTTTTAAAATAAATATTTGACACCCCTTGAATTTGTCATTTATGTGGTTTTTTGGTGAGGAAGTATGCAGACATTATTGTCTCCTCTATAATTCAGCTCATCTTAGTACTTTCAAATAGTATTTCATAATGCTGAGCAAAGTCTAGGTAGGTCAAATAAGTGCCCTAAAACATTTTGGTAGTAGGAGAAATGGTTTAAATATACGGCAGTTGCAGGCTATTAAGAAAGTTTAGTGAGTTGATTTTTATGGAAAAAATTACTTATTTTGTATAAGTTAGTGGAAATTTAGAAATAGTGTAGCAGGAATAAAGTTGGGAGGCATATGTATATGTTTAATTTTGTGAAGAGTAGATCTTATAAATCATTTAGTCCTGTTACTGATTTCTGTGAGTATTGTATTAGATACTAGGTATTGTTTAGAAAAGTTAGAATACTGGTGCCCAAGTTCTCTTTTTCTTGTAGTTCCAAATTATCTCTTTCTTGCAGCAAATTATCTCTTTCTTCAGTTTATTCGTCTTTTATCCCTTTTCATCTTCTCACCAGAAGGCTACAGGGTGAACCTAGGCATTGTCACATAAGTCCATTTTTATTCTGCAGTCATGACCATTGAAAGCAGAGCCATGGCTCCAGCTGTTCAGACTTAGTGACCTTTATTCTACTAGGAGACTATCCATCACCATTCCAAGCAGTATTGTATACATGGAGTGGTCAATTTAGTCCCATTTCAAGGCCATAAAGCACTTATGATGGCAGTCGGGTAGGTTTATTCTATATTTTTTAGTATTGCGCCACTTGTACTTTCTTTTTTTCAGGTTCGTTATCTGTAATACTCTGATGTTATTTATCTTTTTTACAGGAGAGGTAGGCATTTGTATTGGGCATGGAGTAACATCTAACATGCTGCTGTAGTCTGATATCATTGCTCTTTCTGGCTTCTGCAGCTGCTGCCTTTTTGGATTGAGGCACATAGGTGGGGCAGTCCATAGAAATCTTCTGTTGTGTCTTCACTATACAGTACCTGTCATGTAGGTGAAAACACAGTTTTAGTTAGGGATAATTGACTGTCTTAGTACTCATATGAATAATGATGAGTAATATCCTTTGAGAAACTTACGTCTTGTAAATTCAATTTGTATCCGAAAATAAGTTAAATAATTGAAACATTTTCACTTGTATTGTGATTTTAACCTTTTTCGCTCTCTCATTTGACTAGGAGAAAAGAAATGGGTCGCTCCAATTCTAGATCACACTCTTCAAGATCAAAGTCTAGATCACAGTCTAGTTCACGATCAAGATCAAGATCACACTCAAGAAAGAAGAGATACAGGTGAGTTACTGTGCTTTTAATTCCTTAAATAATGATAATAATCATATCAGCTAATACTTATGAAGTGCTTACACAGAGTGCTACATTCATTAACATGTTTTATTCTCAAAGAACCCTGTGAATGGATCTATTGTTATCCTTGTTTTAGAGTTAGTTCACTGGGGGTCTTGGAATGTATTTCCTGCAGATAAGCGGGAACTGCTGTAACATTAAGAGATGAATTGGATAACGTAAGAATTATTTGGCAGTAAGCAGTCTTTGCATACTGTTTCATAGCTTCTAATTTCTGACTCTGAGGTCTCAATAGGTTTATTGTTTAAAAATGATAAACTCTGATTGTCTTTCTTTAAGTAGTAATACATACTTAACATAGAAAATAGAAACCACAAGTTGAAAATAAAAGTGACCATAATTTCATTACGAATTAATACTTGTTTATGATCTTCCTGTACTATTTTTCTAGGCCTAACTTTTTATTATGCATGCATTTAGCCAATGGTATTTCACTGGTGAATATTCTTCCATGGCGTTACATTTTCTTTTAACACTATCACTTTAAGTGCCTGCGTAAAGGTACTGTAATTTGTTAGTGTGTCCTATTGTTGGTTGTCAGTTTTTTCCCCTGTTTTCTGTGCCTTCATTCCTAAGTCCTTTATTTTCTCAATATTTACCTTAGAATTGAGATTTTCTTCATTGAAAACAGTAAACTTTTACTTTTGTATAAATGAGGGCTTTTTAAAAAATAATACATTTTTGGCTTTGACACTTTATTTACATGTTATATTCAACCAGAAGTATTTGGGATTGTAGGATGTAATAGTTTATTTTTCTTGGATTGATATTTATTTCATTTTTAGTTCTAGGTCTCGTTCCAGGACATATTCAAGATCTCGTAGTAGAGATCGCATGTATTCTAGAGATTATCGCCGAGATTACAGAAATAATAGAGGAATGAGACGACCTTATGGGTACAGAGGAAGGGGTAGAGGGTATTATCAAGGAGGAGGAGGTAGATATCATCGAGGTGGATATAGACCTGTTTGGAATAGAAGACACTCCAGGAGTCCTAGACGAGGTCGTTCACGTTCCAGGAGTCCAAAAAGAAGATCTGTTTCTTCTCAAAGATCCCGAAGCAGATCTCGCCGGTCATATAGATCATCTAGGTCTCCAAGATCATCCTCTTCTCGTTCTTCGTCCCCGTATAGCAAGTCTCCTGTCTCTAAAAGACGAGGGTCTCAGGAAAAACAAACCAAAAAAGCTGAAGGGGAGCCCCAAGAAGAGAGTCCTTTGAAAAACAAATCACAGGAGGAACCGAAAGATACATTTGAACATGACCCATCTGAATCTATTGATGAGTTTAATAAATCATCAGCCACATCTGGTGATATTTGGCCTGGCCTTTCAGCATATGATAATAGTCCCAGATCACCTCATAGTCCTTCACCAATTGCTACACCACCTAGTCAGAGTTCATCTTGCTCTGATGCCCCCATGCTCAGTACAGTACACTCTGCAAAAAACACCCCCTCTCAGCATTCACATTCCATTCAGCATAGTCCTGAAAGGTCTGGGTCTGGGTCTGTTGGAAATGGATCTAGTAGATACAGTCCTTCTCAGAATAGTCCAATTCATCACATCCCTTCACGAAGAAGCCCTGCAAAGACAATCACACCGCAGAATGCTCCAAGAGATGAGGCTAGGGGACGTTCCTCATTTTATCCTGATGGTGGGGATCAGGAAACCGCAAAGACAGGAAAATTCTTAAAAAGGTAAGAACTAAGAGAATTTAGATTATAATATTAATACTTCTGATCTTTGAATTCTTTTTGGATTTTAAGACTAAAAATTGCATTGTGATGTGTATTTAGCTATTTTTACTCCTGACTTCCTTCTTTATAATTCTAAGTTGGTTTTACTCATATCTTCTTAACTTTGGAAGTGAAGTATTTTAATAAATGTTTATGAAGCTAATTCATATTCCTCCTTTTCATTTTATCCATTTTTAGTCAGTCCAGAATTGAGAATATAAATGAGAAATTGAGTAGCATAAAGCATAACTAATGGTTAACATGTTGTAAAAACAGTAAAAACAATATAACTAATGGTTAACATGTTGTAAAAACAGTAAAAACAGATTAATTTTATAAGTGTTAGCTTATTTTGTTCTCTTCACCATTATAAAGTGACCTACATAAATAATGCAGTTATATTACACGTTCTTGTGTGGTATTATAAACAGTCCAGCTGCCAGTTTTTAAAATGTGCCTGACTGTAGAAAAGATAATAAAAGGTATTTCTTACTCAAGTAAACATTTCAAAGAGATACTTGGTTTGAATTCTAATTTCAAGCATTGCTAAAGGTTACTAAAACGCTTAATGGAAATGGGTTGCTAAGGTAGTGTGATTGACTTACAAATGAGGGAATACTGCAAGCATGCTATTTATGGTTTAGTGCTATACAATCTAAAATTAATTTTCTTAGTGAACTGATACATAGTTTCTACTTAATATTGCCAGAAATTATCATTTTCTATTACAAAGTATGTATGAACTATTTTGTGATCTAGATAGACTATTAAATATCTAATATTAATTACCTTGAAGTCCACTTTTTTGAACTCATTTATATTAGATGAGTGAAATAGTCTGAGATTTTGAGTATAATCATAAGTAGAATTTTAATAGATAAGTATATTGTTTATTAGTGGTTCTTAGCCTCAGAAATTAAGCTGTGTTGTATGTTCTAGAATCTCTGGAAATTTGGATTTGTTAGTGCAGAATTGTGGACTATAAATAGAACAGGTTTTTGAGAATGGCTTTACTTTTTTTAAATTTTAGGAAGTCTAATATGTAAATTTATTAAAAAACTCAGTACATAAGCTGTATGGATGCTTTTAATGCTTTTCAAAAGTGGAATCTGAAAAAGCACTTTTCAGTAGGGTTTTTTCCTCTTATTACTGGTCCTGTGATATTGGGAAGCACAATTAAGTATGCAAGTGATCTGCAATGAATGCAATCCAGAGTTACCATCCTCTTCTTTGCTTATTCACAGGTTCACAGATGAAGAGTCTAGAGTATTCCTGCTTGATAGGGGTAATACCAGGGATAAAGAGGCTCCAAAGGAGAAAGGATCAGAGAAAGGGAGGGCAGAGGGAGAATGGGAAGATCAGGAAGCGCTAGATTACTTCAGTGATAAAGAGTCTGGAAAACAAAAGTTTAATGATTCAGAAGGGGATGACACAGAGGAGACAGAGGATTATAGACAGTTCAGGAAGTCAGTTCTTGCAGATCAGGGTAAAAATTTTGCTACTACATCTCACCGGAATACTGAGGAGGAAGGACCCAAGTACAAGTCCAAAGTTTCATTGAAAGGCAATAGAGAAAGTGATGGATTTAGAGAAGAAAAAAATTATAAACTTAAAGAGACTGGATATGTAGTGGAAAGGCCTAGCACTACAAAAGATAAGCACAAGGAAGACGACAAAAATTCTGAAAGAATAACAGTAAAGAAAGAAACTCAGTCACCTGAGCAGGTAAAGTCTGAAAAGCTCAAAGACCTCTTTGATTACAGTCCCCCTCTACACAAGAATCTGGATGCACGAGAAAAGTCTACCTTCAGAGAGGAGAGCCCACTTAGGATCAAAATGATAGCCAGTGATTCTCATCGTCCTGAAGTCAAACTCAAAATGGCACCTGTTCCTCTTGATGATTCTAACAGGTAATCCACACTGATACCTAATAAATAATCTGTGGGTGGTTAGTTAATAATCCAGTTAATTATTTTCTGAATGTACTTCCCATTTTCATATTCAAACCAATGGTATATTTTGTTTATATGTGTCTGTTACCGATATGCTCCAGACCTGCTTCCTTGACTAAAGACAGGCTACTTGCTAGTACACTTGTCCATTCTGTCAAGAAGGAGCAAGAATTCCGATCCATCTTTGACCACATTAAGTTGCCACAGGCCAGCAAAAGCACTTCAGAGTCATTTATTCAACACATTGTGTCCTTGGTTCATCATGTTAAAGGTATGTTTAGTATGTTTCTTATCGGGAATTAAATTTATCTTGTAAGTAAAAAAAATGAACAGCTATGTGTAATGATTAATGCACCCCAGGGCTAGCAAGTATATATAGACTATTAAATTTTTGGAAAAATAGCACTATATGAAAGAGATAACAGTCTGGTTAACATTGACCTATTTAATAAAGTGATTTTTACTATTTAATAAAGTGATTAAAATACTAAATAGAATTAAAACATACCCTAAGAATCTGTATCATGATAAAACATGACGTAGATTTATACAATGCTAAAAGTCTTTTTGAAATGTACCGTTATACTGTATTTGAAGTGCAGGGTGCTTACAGATTATCTTTGATTGCATGCATGGGACTTGTATTAATGTACTCTTGGCATGGATTTATAACAAAGTGGGGCAGTATTGTTATTATTAAGAATTTCTTTTTAACTTTTAAAGAAACTTGAAACCAGTGGGGAAAAAACAGTATTAATTTCCTGTGTTAATTTTGTATTAGTTAACTTGTTACAATATTTGGCTTTTTTATATGGTAAACCAGAAAAAACATTATTAGGATTTTTAAAGGGGAAAAATTTCAAGAAATTTATAAGTATGTCGGATAAGTAGTGATTTTGTGAATAGTGACTTGATTAGGATAATAATTATGACATTTCTTTAGGTCCTGGGGTTGATAAGCGTGTTCGTTTCAACTGAGTAGTGATGTTCTATTTTCACTAGTATGTAGTTTTAGTTTCAAAGTTACTAATAATTTTCAAAGGTTTTAGCATGTGACTTTTTGGGCAAATAGAACTTGTTTTTATTATTTTGGTTTTGTGTTTGAAAGGCAGTTTACTTTGAAATAGTTTCTTACCCAGGAATCTCCATGGCTGTTGCTCTGAAAAGCCGTTTTCTGAAAAGTTTGTCTTTGGATGTGAGAACAACTCATAATAGCTGAAACTTGCCTTTAGCAAATTCTTTATGCATTTGATATTTCAAAACAGCGACTAGTTAATGAATTTCATTTTGACTGTAATTAAACATAGTAACAAAAGAGTCTTGTTATTTGGCTATAACTAGGTTTGTGAACCAGTTTATGACCATATTTCTGTGGTGCATAGAATATGAAACGTTAACATTTTTTCCTTTTTCACTTTTTTTTGACCTGTCTCCACATTTTACAATTTATTGGTGAATTTTGAGATCAGGTTTTCATAAAATTTTTCCTTTTTCGTTTTCCTTTTTTTTTTTTTTTTAAAGAATTGTAGTTATGTTTCATTATTCGTATTGTGCAACCAATCTGAACAGCTCTTACTTAACATAGAGCTGAAAATGCCCAGTGATGTTTTCTTTTTCATTGTAACTAGGTCCTGGAATATGTTTTGAAATGGCAAATCCATGTTTCAAAGTAAAATAGCTGTTGAAAGATACAGGCAAAGTTGAATCTTCTGTCTTCCTGGCAAAAATGGCATAAAAACTGAGTTGCTAGCTCAAATTCCTGGGTTTCATGGAATTATGATTGAGGCACTACCCTTGTAGTGGCCGTTTCAAGTTTTAATGATTGGTTATGAGACATGTGCTGGATATTGGGCGGTAAGTTGACACAGATGTATGTTGACCTGTTAAGCAGATAGCTTGCTTCATAATGTAACATTTCATGACTTTATACGTCTTTCTATATTACATCTACAGCATATTTTGAAATGGTTTAAAAACTAATCAGTATTGCTATTACTAATTTTAAAGTTGTTAAAAGAAAGACAAGACAATAATATCAAATGTGCTGTCAGGTTTGCCAAGATGCCAGAGTTTTGGAGTAATTAGTGAGTGTTAATTGATTTAAAAAATATTTTTCCAATTGAAATGGCAGTATTCAGTTTTTTCTTAAATCCAGTTTTTGTTGTCAACATAGTTCTTGCTGAAATACTTTGATTAGCTTACTAAAACTAGCAGTATTCAGTTTTTCCTTAAATCCAGTTTTTGTTGTCAACATAGTTCTTGCTGAAATACTTTGATTAGCTTACTAAAACTAGCAGTATTCAGTTTTTCCTTAAATCCAGTTTTTGTTGTCAACATAGTTCTTGCTGAAATACTTTGATTAGCTTACTAAAACTAGCTGTGTAGTTATAGCATTTTGTTTCCTGCAAATGATTACTTGAAGTTAACTTCATTGGTTCATATTGGCAAGGCTTAAGGACATTCACATATTGTTCCTTTTTGTTCTGTTTGAGGAAGTGTAGTGCATTATTGAAATGGAATTAGAGACTCAATTTAATATATTTATTGTTCTTGGTCTATATGCAATATTGACAGGGACCTGTGAGGAACTTTGCATCAGTTACCTGTTGAGGTACAAGAAGTTACAAGGGACAGGGTAGGAGTTCTTTGTAACACTTGGTTCTCTTCTGCTAGGTTTCTTGAGTATTTTTATTTTCTTTTCACCTGCTACATGCCCTTCTGTCACAAATGAAAATCCCTCTTAAAGTAAAGATAAACTAACTGGGCAGTGTTTCTCCTAAATCAACAGAGCAATACTTCAAATCACCTGCAGTGACTCTAAACGAGAGGTTCACCTCGTATCAGAAAGCCACTGAAGAACATAGTGCCCGGCAAAAGAGCCCTGAGATACACAGGTACTGTATACTGGGCATGTAAAAATGTTGCTTTGATAGGAAGACACTGTTTAAACAAGTTTAGGTTGGAACTTTAGACAAGATATATGGAACTACATGGATGTCATGACACAAACGAACTTTGATTTGTAGCTTGAATAAATATATTTCCAATCTTGAAAAGTTTGTAGTTTACTGTTTCTTAATTTTCAGTTTTATTTGGTTTAAACTGGTTGTTAGAACTTAAAACACTAATTCTTATCACTTGCCAGTATGGAATTAAATAGTTACCACATCTGTATGTTGGGAGGGGGTTGGATGCCTAGAGTAAGTAACCCTTGAATTCGATTTACTTCCAGTAAGTTTATAAAATTAAAATGCTTGGTGAAAGGTAGAATTGTTTTTCATGAAAAGATTGTGAATGTTGAAGTCAGATGGTTATGTTCCAGTCCTTGCTCTCTCACTTAATTGCGTTGTGATAAAAAAGTTATTTAATCTCTTAACATTAGTTTTTCCCATCTACAAACAAGAATAACAGTGCCTGTTTCGCAGGGTGGTGGTGGCAATTAGTATTGATTATAAAGTATCTAATTCGGTGCTTAATACAAAGTAGGTATGGTTTTAGTGGTCACTGCTGAAGAGGCACTGAGAAGATGAAACTGACACTAGCTTAAAAAGGCAAGGAGAGACACAGAATAAAACTAAAGATCTACTGAATCTGTAAAAATATTGGAGATACTTAAGAACAAATAATCCTATTTGTGTATTCATTGATACACAATGATTATAATTGTATGATGATTAACCCTTAAAATGATAATATCCAATTTAATCAAAACATGTTTTCCTTTTTTTGATGGTTAAAGTAAGCTTGATATCTTAAAAGGTCAGGCTTCATTTATATATAAAAATTTGGTTGAAGCATTTTAAATTCATTTTTAATATAGTTTTTATTTCTTAATTATCTGTTAGGAATTAGGTTAATAACCTTGCTGTGCTAAATTAGACAACTGGGAGAGAAACAACTGTCTAGTATTTCCTTTACAAAAATGGACAATTTTAGGAATTTGTGGAACCATAAAGTTAATGTGACTACAAATAGACTTTATTTTACATTAAGGAGAATTGACATCTCTCCAAGTGCCCTGAGGAAGCACACGCGTTTAGCAGGGGAAGAGAGAGTTTTTAAAGAAGAAAATCAAAAGGTATGTTTTGAATGGACCTTTTTTTTTTCTCATGTTAACTTCAGCTTAGTTGATGATATTGTACTAATAAGCATAGTTTGTGTAGGCAAAATGTTTATGGATATCATTTGTAACTTGTAAATACATTATGTATGTATTTATGGTAGCGTATATAGTGTATCTTCCTAGAAGAAATCAAGCTGACACTCGTACTATATATCTAAGTTAAACCAAGAATAATTTTTTTTAAATGCTACTGAAAGGAAGAAACTAGTTCTAAGAAAAGGGCAAAGACTCAATGAGTAGACAAAGGAAAATTATAAAAGCAAAGATACAAATTATATTAGGGTTTCTGTTAGAGGTGAAATGGATGAGCCAGAATAAATATTCCTTGATTTATGTGTGCCTAAATTAATATCTCTAGGTTCTTCACAGAGAGAACAAGAAGTAATCTCCATGCTACTGGGCATTTTTGATCTGGACTAAGAAATAAGCATTCTAAGAACTGGTTTACAAATGAACATTTGGAACAAAAACGTACAGTTTTTGTGGATTCGGGGGAAGAATGCTTTTAAACTTGAGAAAGGAGTCTGAATGACTGGAATTACTGGCGTTGGGGTCGGGGGAATCCGAGTATGGAATTCAGTCGTTAAGGGACTCTGATTAATTGCTAATTTGAAATTGACATTTTCAAGGTAGATTATATGACAGTCCATAAAAGTCTAGTTGAAATGTGGAGCAAGGTTAAAAGGGAGCAACTGTCTGTTGTACTGAAAAGGCTAGGGAACTTGGAAGTGTATTGCTTGGTTCCAATTCTGGCCATCACCGAGTACTGTCTCTGTGATATTAGGAAAGTAATTAGCGTCTTGGACATTGGTTTTCTAATAGGAAGGGTGAGAATACATCTATCTTGCAGAGTTGAATAATTGAGCTGTTATGAAAACATTGGCATTTTTATTACTAGAAGCCGTTATTAATGGTTGTAGTATATAACCATTTTAATTAGGCATGCTATTAATTCATTAGATAAGAAATTTAGAGCTTAGGAAGAAAGTGGTTTCTTTGCATGGGGCACATTAGTCTTGGAAAACCAGATTCTGAGAAGTGAATGCTAATTTTGGCTTTTACTTTCAATACCTTGGGTTCACTGTTGGTTAATTTTGTTTTGCCCACAATTTAGTCTATTCTTGTACTCTGACAGAGTGAGTATCTTCCTTCTCTCCGTTACTCAGACCGATTTTGATCGAGAGGAGAGAAAATAGTGACAACTAATGGAAGGACAAGAGGATATGACATTGCTTTTTATCCTTTATCTTCCTATCTGAGTGAACAATTAACATATATGTAGTACTATGTAGTTTATATATGTGTGTGTATGTATGTATGCGTATATGTGTGTGTGTGTATATATATATATATATATATATATATATATATATATATAGTTTGGGTATATGTGTGTGTGTGTATATATATATATATATATATATATATATATATATATATAGTTTGGCCTTTACAAAATACTTATATTGTTACTTGTGGACTTGGTAATAATGTATTACTAGGTGAATAGGAAGATATTTGCTCTTGAGTAGATTTTTCTTGTTACAGTGGGAGCAAATGGGTGAGTAGTTGGTATCATTTGGAGATACGAACGTTTATGAACATTATAGCTAGACTTCCCAGAGTAAGTACTTCTTATTGTTGAATACTAGCAAGGATGTCCACATTGCTTAGCATCTTACTGATGTATAATTTTTCTTCATTCCTAGATGCCTCTTTCCATCTTCCTAAATTATATAGTATTTGAAAAAGCAATGGAACAAGAAGGAGGTGAATTGTGACCCAGTTAAACTAATGTCCGTTGCAATACCTGAATTGAGAAAGGGCAGTATATGGCCCAGATACTGAGTACAGAATTGGGAATAATATCTTTCTGGCTTTGTTTCTACCCTTGTTCAACCTCAGTTGGTTTCATTAATCATATTATGCTTGCATGTTATGGAAATTACAGAATACTTAACTTTTGAAGTGGTTTTTATTGGGTTGGTCAACTTATATGGGAAGAGCTTGATGACAACGAGGCTTAAATAATGAGAACCATTACTTTAGGATCCCTTAGCTTTATAGGCAGATGGCTACACCCACAACTGAGTATAACCTCTCTATCATTGTTAAACGATATAAAAAACCATTTTGAAGGATGAAGGATGATATTGCGGATGTGCTGAGTGGAAAAATAATTGTATCATTTTACTGTATGAAAGTTTATTATGGATTGCTTTGAACAAAAACCTATGACATTTTCAAGATGATTACCTTTTAATAATTTCCCCAGTCCCATTATACTTGTGTACACAAACGTTTAGTGAAAACATCAAGTACATTTTTAAACAAAAACTAAGTATGGAAGTAGTATGTTACTCATTCTTTTCTGATACTAAAGTGCCAGCTTAGAAACTGGCATAAAATTTGGTTGTGTGTGTGTACACACACACACACACACACACACACACACACACACGCACATATATATGTATTTTTGTCCCTGTGGTTTCCCTGAAATCTGTATTTTATATCTGTCTTTTATAGGGAGATAAAAAATTAAGGTGTGATTCTGCTGATCTTCGGCATGACATTGATCGTCGGAGAAAAGAAAGAAGTAAAGAACGGGGGGATTCCAAGGGCTCCAGGGAATCCAGTGGATCAAGAAAGCAGGAAAAAACTCCAAAAGATTACAAGGAGTACAAATCTTACAAAGATGACAGGTAATTGTTAAAACTGTCTGAGTTAGGTTTTAGCTTCTAATTAGCCTTTAATAATTGTCAGCTTAATTGCTTTCAATTTTGACTGTGTAATCGAATGTTTAAATTTAAACAATTAAAATTATTTGTTTTACAGCAAAAATATATTTGTCTTTTACACGGCTTATGGTGGATGAGGACAAAAACTTTGGAATAGCAAGCTAACACTGAAAAAAAAAATGACAAATTAATGTGTCCTATTATCCAGGCTACATCAGGAGGTTGGACTTCAATGCAGTGCATTTCTAGAAACAGTTTGTGTAAGAACTTTGGTTCGTTATGCTTGATTCCGCACTTTTTCAACTCATAACACCCAGAGTACAAGAATTTTAAACTGATGTCTAGTGGTTTAACATGGGAGAGATGGGGGGGAGGAAGGACTAGTTTTTTTGAAATAGCAATGTGTATTAGTCTTTCAAAGTAATGTTTCCATGGATACTGTTAGAAGTGGTAAGAGTTATCGCAGGTATGACCTTTTCGGGTGTTGCATTAGAATCATGTAAAGTTGATCATCATAAGAGTCAAATAAATAATAGGAATGCTAAGAAGTTGTATAGATAATTGTTTTCCTTGCTATTCATTAGGTAAATGGTGGACTTTACTTGTGTTTTTTAATTTATGACTGGTATTTGTAATGTCATATGCTTTTTATTTCAATAACGGAGTTATGGCCTAAACGATATCAACTGTTCTCACCCAGGGTGTACAAACTGCATTCATTTTGAAACATGGCCTTAAGACCATTCTTACTTTTTCCTACTCTTCTCTTCCTTTCCTTAAAATAAAAATAAGTTAAAAATATTGAAGAACTGAACCTTATTCTTGAAGTTGCCAGACTGCTAGTTTCTAACTGGCATGTCATCCCATGTTTTTCAGTAGTCATGTAAAACGAATATTGAAGGAGAATGGAAACAGACTATGTCAGAGTTTAACACCCAATCATTTTAGTTGCATAATAATTTTAATAGGGGATAGTTTCTTTGACTTGAAAAATATCCCTCTTATTATAAGATTCAACAGGGCCTTTTTATCTTTTTAAAAAATAGCACACATTTTTTGTTTGCTTTATTTTGCAGTAAACATAAAAGTAGAGAGCAGGATCATTCTCGATCTTCATCCTCTTCAGCATCACCTTCTTCTCCCAGTTCTCGAGAAGAAAAGGAGAGTAAGAAGGAAAGAGAAGAAGAATTTAAAACTCACCATGAACTGAAAGAATACTCAGGCTTTGGAGGAGTTAGCCGACCACGAGGAACCTTTGTAAGTAATAAAATTATCTTTGGTCATTTGGTAGAACTTAAGAGTACTATACATAAGGAAAGTAAAATACATGTTTTAGACATTGTCTGTTGTGTGAGTCATTACTCGTATAGGCTTGAAAAATAAAATGGTATTTGATATATCGTCATTAAGAAATGCCATTTAGGGGGAGTGAGGAAGGGCTGGAGCTGGGATGATGCTTTCTTTGTATATAAAGTAAAAAATAAATGTTTTTGCCTGATTTTAAAAAAATAAAATGCCATTTTGAGATTTAGAAGCATCTATATAAACTAGATAATTTTCCTTAACATTGAAATCAGTAACTGTACATAGTGCTTAGAGACCCAAGAGTCAAGCAAAGTTAGTGATTGAGATCCATTTCTTTAATCACTTAGTCCTTGAAAAAAGTCTTGAAACAAACAAAAAAATCCATATGTTCATCTCTGTATTGACAGCTATTTTCATTTTTGCCTATTATCTTCAAGTTCTTGCTTATCCGTGTATCATAGAAATTATATCTTTTCTTTTATTCTACATAGCATATGCATTATTCCCATGTTTCCATAAATTTGTTACAATTGTTAATATAATGACTTCATTGTAGTGCATCTTCTTGACTCTTTATTTTCTAGATTGATTCCTACCTTGAGCAAGTATCCAGTTGGTTATTAGTGGGGTTCACTAATTAGATCATTTGGGAAAGAGAAGAGCTTTGCCTGTATGGTGATAGGTGTAGTTGAACACTTGGGATGTTAGTGTTAGGAATTAGACAACACTTTTGGCTAGTAGAAGGGAAACAAACCAACTTGATTATTTAAGAATTTTAGTTCAGGCTTTGAAAGTGCAGTATTCTGACCGCACTTTTAACTAATTAGGTTGACTGCATTTCTTCTTAACCTACTCAGCTTTCAGTAGGCAGAATTTTTTGCCTCCTTACTGGCCTCAGTGGCCATGAAGTTGAGATTTAGGAAAGAAATTAGGGAATGTTTTTTGTTACTGCAGTAAAATTAGAGTTTGCATGTAACTTAATACCTCTTGATTTCACTACTAAACAACTTTGTTAATGTTAATCAGTTTCGAATTAGAGGCAGAGGAAGAGCCAGAGGAGTTTTTGCTGGGACAAATACTGGTCCAAACAACTCAAATACTACTTTTCAAAAGAGACCGAAGGAAGAGGAATGGGATCCAGAATATACCCCAAAGAGCAAGAAGTACTTCTTGGTGGGTGTTAGAAATCTCTGTTTATTTGGTTTGCATTAATTTTCAAAGCATACTGGGTGAATACATTTGAGTACAGGTATCCACTACTATGAGAAGATTTCACCATCATATAGGAAACTTTTAAAATAAATCATTACCCAGGTGATTTTGAAGTTTTGAAAATGTGGGTCCCTTTAGTCCTGTTTATACTTTATTGATATCACCTGTGGGCTGATCAGGGTAAAGTAAAAATATACCTGATTTGATAGCCACGTTCAGAGAAGAACAGTAACTTGTTTCGTATCTGTCTATAAGACGGTAAAAGTTGTAGAAGCTTCTAATGAAGATTTACTTTTCATCATCGCAGCTATTTGTTTAATTGAAAGACAAGGAGAAGAATTCTTTCACAGTACATGTAATTAAGGTTCTCAGGAGGCTGTTAACTTTTATTGGAGTAAAAGCAAGATGAAAAATTGCATTATGGAAAAGTTGCTAGATACACATTAATTTAGTGCTTCCTTGTGATGCTCTTCTCTCTGAAGTAGTTTTATAAGGGATGAAGCCAGAGGAGGTGGGTCCTGAAAGATTCTCTAGGTAATGATGGAAATTTTCTGCACTTTGGCATGGGAGAAGAGGGTTTTTTCCTGTATTATAGAAACTTGAGAAAACACCAAAAACTATTACCAGAATACTCATTTTTGTCATAGCTTCTCAGGGAAGTCATGTTTTAGAGACTATTTCTGAAGACTAATTGTTTTGTCGAAGCAAGGAGGAAAATAGTACTGGATTTTATAGAAATGTATCTTTCATTTGGCTTTTTATGAATATTCTTGAATAAACCTGAATGTCCATGCCGTCAGCTAAATTAGAGTTACAGAGCTGTATTCTGAAGTAGATCTATATTTTGTTTGAAGAATAGGCATTGTAGCTGTTTCAAAAACTAATTTGCATTTGCCTCTTTTTGGGGTACTTTAATGGCCAAGAGTCTGAAAAAGTTAAGCATAATGTTTGCACAGCATATGCTCATGTGAGGAGAAATTTATGCTTGAGTTGACAGTCTGGAAAGTGAAAGGCATTTTATTCAGTTACAGGAAAGTTTAAAAGACCTGTCTCCTCCTCGATTTAAGAATTTATGAATAGACTGCTGTTTATGCTGTAGATGGAAAGATAAATATGATTTCAATTCTTGGCTTACGAGACCTAGTAATGGAGAACATTCTAAACACATATGGTGGATTATTGCAAATGAGATACTGATTAGAAGAGACTTCGTAGACGATTTTGGATTGAATATTGAGCTTAAAAGATGAGCAGGTGTACTGTAAGAAAGCAGGAGTGAAACATCCTTAAATAGAGAACTCCAATACTCAGATGGCTAGATGATTGGTGTAAGTTTGGGAAAATTAAGAAAAAGCGGGAGCCAAATTTTAGAAGGCCATAATACTTTAATGAATTTGGATGTTAAGCAGAGTTTGGAAAATCATGGTTGTGACAAACAGATCTGGGAAATAATTGTTTGAACTAAGGGGCTATAGGTTTGAGAAAAACATAAGGAGCATTTATGAAGGCTTATTCAGGGAGCCACTAGTCAGGTGTTGGTAGTGAGAAGATGGAGTCTCTCAAAGATAGGGAATAAAGGGGAAAACAGCTAATTTGAGGTGAAGATTAAGTTCTGTTATTGAAGTGCTGGGCAGAAATTAAGTGGAAGTGTGCAGTAGGCAGTTGCTAATGCAGGTCAAGAGAGAAAAAAGTCCAGGAGCCATCATTCAGTCACAAAGCCACAGTAAGATCATCCAGTCAGAAGAGATTAAAAGGCCAACCTTGCAAAGGTGGGGTGAGGAGTGAGTGAGTGTAAAAATACCAGGCAAATAGAGCAAATGTGAAAGGACAAAAAGTTAAGAGGGAAATGAGAGGTGAACAAGTAGATTGTAATTGTTTAGTACCCTTAAACATGTTACGAATATTTAATTTAGGCCAGGCCTTCATTTTTCTATGGTGTTCTTTCAGTCTCCAGTATCATAGTTTTTGTCTTAAATTGGGACATAATTATTTTTTATTGTCATATAGTTAGGCGTTAGTTAAAGTAATTAAGAAGAGTGTTATTTAACATTTTATATGTTGCTATTCTGGGTTATGTTTTAAAACCTCCATTTCTGTATAAATATAAGCGTACACATGCATTTGTCACAGACTAATGCTCACTAGAAGTAAACTTAGCACAGCACATTTTTTCTTATAAATCAGTTTCCAAAATTAATTATTTTGGTTCTTAATTAATGAGCTATTGGAATGACAAGTCTGGTTTTTACCTGGGAATTTAAAGTTAAAATATTTTGCATAGTCTGAATAGGTCTGACTCTTCAGACAGCTAGTGTTGAGAATAGAAATATTTTTAAAAAATTGAGACTAAATGAAGTTGAAAATTATAGATTCCCCTAGGTTTTGACAAACATGGAAATTTTGTCCAGAGTATTGAAACATTTAATACTTAGTAAAAATAATGGATAGCATTTATTGAGCATATACTATGGTAGGCACCATTCTAAGTGTTTCACATATATGAATTTATTTTCATGCTTATGAAGTCCTTTTGAGGTAGGACCATTATTCCACTTGTATAGATGAAAAACGCAGAGGTACAGAGATTGAGCAGCTTGACCAAAGGTACATGGCCAGTAGGAGTGGGGCAGGATTTGAACCCATGCCTTGGGCTCCGAAAGGTTCTTACAGCTCGTATCATTTTTCCTCCAGTACTGAGTAATAGTAACATTTGTTGCATTCTTAATCTGAAATTTTCCTTCTCAGAAGTTTGATTTATGCAAAGATAAGGTAATGTTTTCAATAATAGGTATTCCAGGGAAGATAATAGTCTTTAGAACCTGAAATTCTCTGGAGAGGTGAGAGTATGTGAAGAGTTGGAGCAAGTGGGAAAGTACTAAAATGGGCAAGTTCTCCATGTTGAGTTGAAGTCATCTGAGGAAGAGAAAAATCTCTGTGGGAAAGGACGTTTGGGTTGGCGCTTTAATAAATTCACTCTTTGAAACTTGATCATTCTATACAGAAGAGAACCGAGGATTCAGAAGGTCTTGGTTCTAATATGGCCTCCTTTGTTAACATATTGTTGGCTGTGTATTATAAATATCTAACATTCTCTTTGTTATCTATGAAGTAATTAATTTTGATTAGTCTGTAACAAGACTAAAATCTTGGATGTAAGAATTTGAGGATTAAGAGTTAGTATGCTTAGGGACTTCCCTGGCGGTCCAGTGGTTAGGACTCCGTGGTTTTACTGCAGGGGGCATGGGTTCAATCCCTGTTCAGGGAACTAAGATCTCACATGCCTCTTGGTGCAGCAAAAAGAAAAATAAAAAAGTTAGTGTGCTTAGTATCAAAATGTCGCTTAGGTAGCTGCCGGGATACCCTCTGAAAAGCACAGTGTGCTCTTGGAGCTTTTGTTTTCTTTAATTTCAGATGATTGTATATTTAAAAGTTAATTGCTAGTTTAACTGTAGTGTCTGGCTTTGCCACTGATTCTTCTGTTTCAGCTCTTAGCTACCTCATACGGTAACTATTTACTGTCACCAGGATACCTAGAAAACGTATTCTGTGGATGATGGGCATAAGGGGCAGTGGAAAAGATTGACTCTGTGGCCTTGGGCAAGTTACTCAATTTCTCTGTGCCTCAATTTCTTTATATCTAAAATGGGGTTAGTAACAGTATTTTACAGGGTGGTTGTGAGAATTAGATGAGTAACAAGCACTATATAAACATTATCACCACCATTGATTGCTTGCTTGTCAGGCACTGGGCCGGGCACTTTTTAACAGATCGTCTGTGTTCCTTCAAGGCTATCTCTGGTTTTTTTTAATGAGGAAGTAAAGTCACACAGTTTCTGTTAAGATTTAAACCCATGCCTCTGGCTTCAATGGCTGTTTGCTTCTTCCTACAAATCCATGGAATACTGTGTAAACACCACAAACAGGAAAGCATAAAGGCTATATAGAGTTAGTTGTGTTAATACCAAAAGGGAGCCTGAAATTATGTAATTGTGTGTGCATATTATTTTGAGTGGCAGACTTTTAAAATAGTTTATTTTGGGTTTACAATTGAACTTTCTGACATACTGAAATTTACACTTTTGATAGTTCCTAAGTTCATTCTTTGAGTCATGCACACCTCTGCCTAGTCATCTTTTATTGGTTTGATAAAGCTAGATTATTAGAAGTGGGTAAGGGCTCTTTCATATAGTCTGTTAATTACATGTGTGAACTTTTCAAGTGATTCAGGAGGGTGATCTGTATTACATGAATATGCACAAAGGCACATTGCATGTTTAGCAAATGTGTTCATATTATGTATTTGAAAAGTTTTAGTGACTTATGGACAGTTGATCAATATCCGTACTCCATAAGTTGTACTTATGTATGTAGATTGTACTTGTATATAGTGTATGCAACGTTGTTTGCATTATGCCTGTTGTCTCATAAAGGGGTGTCACTCCCATTTTTGTAGGTACGAACTTAAAAGTAAGTTTGAGGTGGGCAGCAGTTAAATTACATTGCAGGAGAACTTTGGCTTTTTGTTTTGTACTTTGGGATGTAATACTCTTCTGCTTATCGACAAAGTCAAGTACTTTTCAGTTTTGCAGATGTTTTGATTAAAGGAACAATTTGTAACTTGGGGAACATCTGTTTTTGGATGCAGCTAATGAAAAATTAAGGTTGGGCTGTAACAACTGCAGTATTTTAGGTTAGTGAAGAAGAAAGAAGTTGAGATATTACTCTGGGGACCACGCCATCATGATTTGGCTTGTGAAATTTCCTTGCCAAAAAGACTGATGTGTAATACACATTGATTTAGATTTAAATCTCAGTAGGATTTTAAAAATCTGTTGCTATATGTAAACTATAATTCTTATCACCTGCTTTATTTAGTAAATGTTACAGATAATGTAATGATATTTTTATGCTTTGTTGCATGTCTGTGACAGGTAATTTTTTCAGGAAAAATATCGGTTATTTTATCACTTATACACAGTATAATATACTTATTAATAATAAGTGGACTTAGGCAAAAACGGAAAGCAAAAAAGTAAAAACTTTGAAAATTGGCAGTAATTTAGCAGTTGAGATTCTCCAAAAAAATTGGACAGCTCTCAAATGCTTGGGTTACGAAGCAATAGGATGTAACTGTTTGCTTTCATGATGGAGTATGTTTTTGTTGAAAAATTCAGTTTTATTGGTTTTGTGTTTTGGAACAGTACCAATCTTATTTACCCAATCTTCAGACAGTTTATACCATGAGTTATGATTGGGGATATAATCATCTTCCTTACCAGAAGGACGTTTCATTGATGATTGTTTTTAACCTTTCTGTAGCATGATGACAGAGATGATGGTGTGGATTATTGGGCCAAAAGAGGAAGAGGTCGTGGTACTTTTCAACGTGGCAGAGGGCGCTTTAACTTCAAAAAATCAGGTAGCAGTCCAAAATGGACTCATGACAAATATCAAGGGGACGGGATTGTTGAAGATGAAGAAGAGACCATGGAAAATAATGAAGAAAAGAAGGACAGACGCAAAGAAGAAAAGGTAGAAATTTCCAACTTGTTAGTGGTTCTTATATTTTCTTATGTATGGGTTTGGTGGGCCAGTTAATTAATTTTTAAGAACAATGATTATTTTTGGATCATTTTCACTCTTCATATCTTTGCTAATCTTTCTCTCTCTCTCTCTCTCTCTCTCTCTCTCTTTTTTAGGAATAGTAAATCTGAAGTGAGATTGCAACAGAGAACGGAACTTGCACCCACCATTTTTTTACATGATTTTTGTTTTCAAATAAGAATGTAAGCATTTTACTTAAATTTTACTGTTTGCAAGTAGTAGTCTAGAGAAATTTTGTTTTAAGTCTTCAGATATCCTGAAAAATAGTAGACTGTATGTTGAAAATTGTACTGAAATAAAGTAGAAAATTGTTACGTACCATATTTGTAACTATCAACTTTTAAAAAAAATACTTTTACTGTTTTTGTTACATGCATTGTAATTCTGCTTTGTCTATAAGATATGGTCAAGTACAGCTCTGTGAAAGTTATGATTCTCTTCTCTCCCTGTTTGTTAATGTTTATTCTGAAGTAAACGTTAGCTCTACATACAAATCCCTGAATAGCAGTTGTTTATAGAAACCACACTAACTATTTTAACTGTATACATCTGTTTAACATTCTTCTTAATTCAAACACACTACATTGTAGGGTGGCTAATTTTTGAAGTGTACCATGGAAAAAGTTGTTATTTTGGTAAACTAAGCTAGTTTAACACCTCAGCAAATGTTTAAGAAGGAAAAAGAAACTTTGCCAATCGTGAAAAAAGTACAAGCTGTTAAAAGTTAGATTGAAAAGTATGAGAATATTTTTCTTTTTTCTTTCTTTTAACTGAAAGCAAGCAGTGGCCTATATACAAACCATTCTTAGGAGCCTTTACTATTTGAGTTCAAAATTAAATATTCTCTTTCTATTCTTCCCTGAAAGTTTGAGTCATGGTCTTAGATATCAGCTATTGTTTGAGAGATGAAACTGGTTTGCAGTAGTACAAATAAAAACTCCCTTCCTACCGAACGTCTTAGACTTTAAAAAAAAAAACAGAACAAAAGCTGTAATCCTGGCATTGGTATGGAAGAGGATTATTCTGCAGAGTAACTTGATACATTAAAAAGACGTGTACCTGATGTCATACCTTACATATTTATTTGAGCTTTTGGACAGCCAAATCATTAGTTTGTAGTCGAACCGTAAGGAATAATAGGCGAACAGAATACACTGCTCATTAGTAGTATTTTAAGTAACTTGTTTTTCATATGTCACCAATAAAAAGATCTGACAGGAAGTTTGCCACAGCATTGATCTAACTTGTTTTTTATTTTTTTCCATATTTCAGTTGCCGTTTGTAAAATGGGTTTTCTTTTTCTTCCCAAGGGTTCTATTGTTCAGGAAGATAATCTTTCAAATGTGAATTGCCTTTATGTTTATGATGATATCTCTTAGAAGGAATGAAAATCCAAAATAGTAAATTTCAGTGTTTTAAGTCTGTCTGCTCTTAGAGCATATATAAAAGTAGTCAAATTTCACTTGTTAATTCAGCAACTGAATTAGTTTTTATGTTTGCATTAAAAGCAGATAATGCTTATTCTGTTAGTGTAAACTTTTAAACATCTTTAAGTGTATGGCTCTTTCATCCTCACTGATCGTTTGTTTACAGGTGCTCTTCTAGCACCTTAACTGCAGTCAGAGGCATTAGCTAAGAGCTGTATGAGGGAAAAACATGAAAACAAAACTCAGTATATGTGATGTTCATGGCCCTAAGATCCTTAAGTATTGCATGGTTATTTTTATTTTGTCTTTCTGAAATTGTTTGAGCAGAGGAAATACTGTCAAAGCAACTATGTGTTGCATTAATCAGGGCATAACTAATATTCTCCTAGTCAGAATAATACTTAATTACATGCTAAAGCAACATGGATTTGATCTCTGACATAGAATTTTCACGACCATTTTATTTTATACAAATAAATTTAGCTTTTATTTTAACAGTTATTATTTGGTTAGATACTGAATCTCTATGCATGTCTATAAATGTGCAGTTTTGCTTTTCCATATAAGACAACAGGAAAGGGGAACCTACTGAGAAATTATTTAATAGGGAGTACGAATAAAGCTACCCAAGTCCTACCAGCAGGTTATATTTTAAGTGCAAATGCATTGCTTTAACCCAAATTTGTTAATGATTTGGTTACTTTTATTTTGTTTGTTTTTGTTTTTTTGCGGTATGCGGGCCTCTCACTGTTGTGGCCTCTCCCTTTGCGGAGCACAGGCTCCGGATGCGCAGGCTCAGCGGCCATGGCTCACGGGCCCAGCTGCTCCATGGCATGTGGGATCCTCCCGGACCGGGGCACGAACCCGTGTCCCCTGCATCGGCGGGCAGACTCCCAACCACTGCGCCACCAGGGAAGCCCTGGTTACTTTTATTAAATAAAATTGAGGAAAGAGTATCCTATTAGAATATAGTAGGAAGGGTGATTGTGAAAACACTGCAGTAGAATGCCATTGTGGATGTTATCTTTTTTTAGAGCCAAGCATATTAAAAGCCTGTGTGAATTTTTTAAACCGCAGTTTAACACCCTACTTCATGACATGTTATAAAAGCTGAATGGTTCCTCTTGGTAAGGATATTTGTTTACAAGTGCTAGAAAATAGTAACTCCTTGATAAACCTGCATTAACACACTTCCTTTTGCTTAGAGAAGGAAAATAAAAATGAACCAAAGGATATTTCCTGAAAGTATTAAGAAAGCTGTTTTAAGAAGGCCATGACTCAGTCCTTAGGTGTGTACACCTTTCAACATCGTAGGAATTTTAATTAAAAAAGCAAAATTTGTTTTTCCAGTTGTAGCCTACTTTAAGGAATTACTGTTTTTCCCCTTTTGTCACAGTTAAAATCAAGTGTTGGGAATTCAGTTATCATTTGAGTAAAAATATATCCAGTAAGAATGAATGTAGATGGCTAAATGATTCTTACTCAGTGTGATGTATAATGCAACAGGGACCCTTGTAAATTGTCATATGCCAATAAAATGTCATAAGTGGTAATAGCTGTTGTTTGTTTACCTGATTTTGAGACTATTTCTGTGTGAGTTCTATACAACTGATGTCAATGGCTTATGTCTCATTTTAGAATATCAGCTTATCTGTTAGTAAAATTACTAACAGGGATGATGTGGCTTTTTGAGGGTTGATAAATACTTTATAAAACTGCTCAAATCCCCATTTGTTTTTTCTTTTTTCTCCTGGGAAAATGGGAAATTTTACAGTGGGTAAATCTAAGCCAATGTTAATGAATACAGGAATTTCAGACTTCTAGTCTAGCCTTCCTGTTCCTATGTTCATACAGGAACTTGTCAGCCATAATATTATGATGGAGAAATCAGCATTACTTCTCTTTCCTTCTAGAAATAGTAGTCAGTTAATAACTAAAAAGTGGGGTTTTTTTGTTTTTTTTGTTTTTTAACTTAGTCTTTGTACACTTTGATTTAGATCTGGTGTGATTCTTACCATGCCCCTCGCATTTTCACAGAAATTTGTGTGTTAAGACATACATTTTGACTAATACAAATGACAAGTTATTCCTTCAAAACTTTGTTAAAGAAGTAAGAACTCTGTACATGTATGCTGAACTATACTGGGTGATTTTAACACTATGTACCAGTTACCTACATAAAAATGTGCTATTTTATTTATTAGGGACATTTATTTTTAAAGAGAGTTGCTTTTTTCTTTTCGGCTTTTTTTTTTTTCCTTCCTTTTTTCTTTTTGGGCATGGCATGTGGCATCTTAGTTCCCTGACCAGGGATCCAGTCCTTGCCCCCTGCAGTGGAAGCGCAGTGCCCTAACCACTGGACCGCCAGGGAATTCCTGTCTTCGGCTTTCAACTGGAATCCCTTTGGGAAATACTTTGTTCCATATGGAACAGTATTTCTTTCACTTTCAGAAAGAGAAGTACAGAGACCTAAGTTTATGAAGTTGCTGAATAGGGAAGGGACATGGAGAAATAAACTTCACCTTCATGGGACGGTATTTGACTAGACTCAGTCTGTGCGTAGTAGATTGTGATACATCCTTTAACAAAATTTTAGAATATTATCTGTTACATACATTTAGGGTTCTCAAATAGTTGAAGCCATTATTGTTAAATCTGAATGTCAAGGGTCTAATTGTTCGGTTTATTGAGGTAGATGTTAAAAATTTGGAGTCTGTGTTAATGAAGTTTTAAGTGAAAAAGTTATTAGTTTCTTGGAATTCAGGAATATATTGAAATTATTGTATTCCATTGTCTGACTTGAGAGCTTTAGTAGAGGTTGTGTAAATTGATGAGCTGGACTCATGTTTTAGAAGCATTCAGTAGTGATTAGTGTGTCAGGTACACAAGTGAAGCCAAAGTTGTACATTAAGTGTGCTAGCTCTCTTTATATTGTTGTATTACCTCCTAGTACTTTAGCTTTTAAAAATGGATACCACTGGGTAAAAAACAGGCATTAGGATGCCACTTACCACCACTACTAGGAGAAAAATTCCAGTGTGTCTTAATTATAATGATCTGTACATAAAGATTTTTTCCCAAGGATGTTTTAGGCAGTTCACAACAGTGAGCTGATTTACAGTGCTCTTAAAGTGCAGACGATAATCTTGATTCTTGCAAGTAGAAAAGGGTTGGGTAAGTGGTTTTAATGGTATTCTAAGAATTGGGATCAGATTTTTCTTAATAATCTCTTAGAGTTCCCCAACTTCCTGATTCAGTTATAATGAGTCCTCCTTTTAATAAAAGTAGATGATATATATTTAAAATAGATAACCAACAAAGTCCTACTGTATTAGTACAGGGAACTCTGCTCAATATTCTGTAATAACCTAAATGGGAGAAGAAGTTGAAAAAGAATAGATAGATGTGTATGTATAACTGAGTTGCTTGGCTGTACACCTGCAACTAACACAACACTGTAAATCAGCTGTAGTCCAATATAAAATATAAACAAAACAACCCCCTCCCCCAAAAAATACCCCCCAAAATAAATTAGGAAGAGCAAAATAAAAGTAGATGATAGTTAAGTACACCGTACAGTTAGGTGATGAAAGGATGTACTTTCACAGCATGAACTCTGTATTTGGCAATGATAACTTCTTGGTATTGTCATAGTAATTACAAATTCCATGGCTTGTAAAGTGCTACTTAAAATTAAGAATACCACTCTCACCCAATCTAGTCCTTGAGTATGGAAGGTCGTAATTTTTTCTGTCTTGTACTGGAAGGGGAAAACTAGAAGCCTTTTGTTTCTTGGCCGCGCCACGCAGCTTGTGGGATCTCAGTTCCCTGACCAGGGGTTGAAACCGGTCCCTGGCAGTGAAAGCGCCAAATCCTATCCACTGGACCGCCAGGGAATTCCCTAGAAACTTTAAGCTTCCAGGGTACTTCTAAGCCTGCTGTGAGGGTAATGTTAAATACACTTGGAATGTTTTTGAAAGGTTGAGTTATCACCAAATGTAGACATAAAAAGGTACTTACAATACAGAATTTAACTGGTTAATGTCAGTATACAGTTATTTTTTTATGCCTTCATTTGGTGATACTCAACTTTCAAAATCAACGTGTTGGCTGTTTTTCACCCCTGTGATAACTGTGGTAAAGATGCTCATCATTTGCCCCAGTTGCTGCAGTATAGTCTTCTGATTTGGACACCTTGACCTTTAAATTTTATCTTTTAATTGCCATCTGTGGGATGTTTTTCAAGTGGAAGTTGTCTTTTTTAAGCTAAAAATTCTTGGATGACTTCTCGTCTAAATCTTAGGATGAACTATAGGAATTTCCTGTGAGCAGCTTTTTTTTTTTCCCTTTTGCCTTATCCCACTCCTTGTTCACTTACCTATCCTAAAATCTTACACCCTACCAAAAATCCTAAAAATTCCTCTTTTGTCCTTATTCTTTCAGGCTGGCAACTCATTCTGTTTATGTGTCATGCTTTGCTAGAATAAATGTTTAGTACTTAGCATCGTGTATTGTGTAAGACATACATACCATAGGTATGTAATAAATGCTCCTTGAGTGTATAAAAGAAAGCATGTTAACTGCGTGTGGATGTATAGAAATTTGATTGGTAGGAGTCAGTTAATGGCTCCTGCTAAAACTTAAGTCAATCTAAGCCACCTTAAAAATGAGCTGAACAGGAGAGAGTTCAGATTGCTATGAATAGAAGAGTTGGAACCTTAATCTTTTTATACACGGCTCAAGTTACCTCTTGTGTGTTGTCTTGGAGTACTGTGATTTTAAGGGAAAACATTTAGTATATTTAAAGGAAGGAGAGCCAGAAGCTTGAGGTCTGAAATATTGTCATATGAATAATTGGAAAAGGTATGTTTACTATAGAAAAGTGATGACCTGGATGAGTCCTTGATAGCAGTCTCAAGTACTTAAAGGGCTGTCCCTTAGAAGAGGAAATAGAGTAAAATTCGGATCACGTAGGACCAGGAAGAGCATTTGATATCACTTTGCCTAGCCTCATCATTTTAACATGTTCCATATTTGGAGGACAGAACCAGAGCCAGTGGATTAAAATCATATATATATAGACTTTTGTTGACTCAGTGAATTAATTTTGATAACCAGATATTTAAAAAGAGTAGGCATTGACA